TTGGTTATAACGTTGGGCATGGGACACCACTCCATGTCACAATTATTTAATTCATACCTTATTGCTTTCTATATTTTAAAGGTTTTATGTAGCTGAGATCCTTTTTTTTTTCAATAATAAGAGAATCTTTGAGGCAGGATTTAATTCTATAATTCCTTTTAATTTTCTTTTCTGAAAAAAATAATCTTCTTATAGAGTTTGGAACGATAATAATATAGGAATGGTGATAATTTGATGAATCTTATTTCTATTTACTGCTCCTTCTGTTCCTATTTATATATATATATATATATATATGATGTTTGTGATTTTAGTTGAATATATTATTAGTTGATATATATACATAGTTTCTAATTATTTGTATTTTGAACGATTTATAAAATTGCATACATATTAAAACTACAACTTGCATTTTTTATGTGTAAATGTAGATGATTTATTCATTTTTTTTACTATTGTTTATCATCTTTTTGACTTTAAAAATAGATGGTCTTTTTTAATTGAAAACGGACGTTTTGTGTGTGACTAATTTATTGACATGACAATTATTTACCCTGTGAGCAAATAGAAAACATGACAACAATTTTTTTTTTCTCCTAGCTAGTTAGAATGTCATAAAAAATAATATTGTCCGACAATTATTTACCTTGACCCAATTACATGAAATAGAAATCTTATTATAATTAAAGAGTATAATTGGAAAGAAACTTCTTGTAGTGATTTAATCCAAACACAAGATAAGGTGGGAAGTAATGAACCAAACACTTGATAAAAATATACCCTACATTACTAATTCTTGCGCTACTAATCCATGCATTGTTAATCCATGCGTTACTAATCCATGCATTATTTATTTTTGTACCAAACGACCCCTGAAAGTTTTTGACCAACCTAGAACAACTAAATGACTAATGCATGTTCATTGGTCAAGTTAGTTAATCAAAATAGATTAATTTATGTTCATTAATTAAAAAATTAATTTCAAGAGATCACCAACAAGGACTCACCTAATTTCTGAAGAGACGTGAAATTTAAAATGATGATATATAAATAGAAATGGAGGGGTATATAATTCGAGGTGAAGTAAAAATGCCCATCCAATGTTTACCTCAAACAATATTACTCATGATTAGAAAGAAGTTGTATTAAATACTTTGATTAGTATCTTTTCATGTCGCTATTTGGTTTTCGACATTAATTACATTGATAAGCAACTCAATTAGTAGTATTAAATCAATTCGAAAGAGACCCAATAGAGACCGCATATTTTTCTAGAGTTGGAGAAAAAATGACTTTTACAAGATTTCTGTCGCTGATCGGCTAATCCAAAATCCAATCGATAACCAGACAAAGTGCAAGATATTCTGTCTTCCACGTCACTTTTTTTGTTTCATTGTCTATGTCCTTCATCTTAATTATGATACATTCATAGTAGTTTATAATACCTTATTCGTTTCATATTAGTTGATTACCTAATTATAATTATAATTATAATTATGTACCTTATTAAATAAAAAAAAGTATTAATTTCAAAAAGTTTTTTAAAAAATGAATTAATAAATGATCTTCTTATTTATTATTATTATTTCTTAATATACATGTAAAAAAAAAAATGATCAACTATTATAATACGGAGAGAGTACTATTATTTATTGAGAAAACATTTTCTACAAGTCAACATACTAATTAAAAAAGGGACCATACCATGTCAAGATTGACAAATATTTAAAGTTATTGTCTCACATCGTGTTATATATATTGGTCACAACTCGCTATGGCAAAATTTAAAGTGACCTTTATATAATGGTCCTAAAAATTAATATAATTTATATGATGCTACCCATGACGAGGGTCTCTTTCAAATTTATCACATACCTTTTTAATACTGAAAATATTCCCTGGAATTCCATTATTTTCCATAAAAACAAAAAAGATGGGAACTGAGGGTAGAAAAAACAACAAAAACTTTTCCATCTTCATGTTTTTGTTTGCCTTGATTTTACAGCTGATTTAACTTTGAAAGTGAGTGTAATAATTTTCTATTATTGGTGGAGAAAAATAAAAGAAAAAACAACAACTATATATATATGTATAGTTTATCATACACTACGGGTGTGTTTGGTATGAAGGAAAATATTTTCCAATTTTCTCATGTTTGGTTGGGTAAAATGTTTTCCAAATTAACTCATTTTTCTCAAATTCAAGTAAAATGACTTCCCTTCAAAACTTAAGGAAAACATTTTCCAAAACTTCCCTCCAACTTCAAATTACAATTTTTTTGTTGAAAAAATCAATTTAAAGCTAATTTAAAAAAAAACATTTTTCAACTTCAATTTTTTTTATTTTTTTTACCCACCCTCACTCCGACCCCTCCTCCCGCCACCCTCCCTCCCCAAAAAAAATAAAATAATTTAATGTTTGTTTTTAAAAAATATTTTCAATTTCAAAATTTTATTTTCACCCTACACCTACCCTCGATCCCCCCTCCCCCACCCCCACATCCCAAAATAATAATAAATTCAAAGTTTGTTTTATAAAAAATACTTTCAATTTCAATTTTTTATTTTTCACCCCACCCTATCCCAACACTGACCCCCCCCCCCCAGCCAGCCCCACTACATGCCCCACCCTCCCCCCCCAAAAAAAATAATTAAAGTTTATTTTTAAAAAATATTTCAATTTCAAATTTTTATTTTTTCACCCCCTACCCCGGCCAGCCCCACTACCCCACCCGCCCCGAAAAAAAAATTAAAGTTTGTTTTTAAAAAATATTTTCATTTTCAAATTTTTATTTTTCCCCCGACCCCCCCCCCCCCCCCCGGCCAGCCCCACTACCCGTCCCACCCCCAAAAAAAAATAATTAAAGTTTGTTTTTAAAAAATATTTCTAATTTCTAATTTTTATTTTTCCCCCTCACCCCTACACCCCCCTCCCCCCAAAAAAATTAAGTTTATTTTTAAAAAATATTTTCAATTTCAATTCAAAAATTATTTTCTGCTCTCTAGTAAAAAAAAGGATATTTTCTCAAAAATAATTTTCATTCATAAATCAAACACTAAATAATTTTTTCCGGAAAATATTTTCTACTCACCAACCAAACATGAGAAAATAAGTCAAAAATCTACTTGTTTTCCAGAAAAACATTTTCCTTCATACCAAACACAACCTACATAAAAAATGATCTTTAGCGGCAATTAATTAACGGCAATAACTTAATTGCCAATAAAAATATATTTTTAGCGGCATTTAACACTCTTTGTAAATGTCCCTAAAGTCTATAGCGACACTTGATTCAATGACAATTATTTAATGCCGATAAAATTTTTATCACTCTTTATTAATGTATATATTTATTGTCGTTAAATGTTGTTTTTATTTTAGTGCAGTATGTACTATAGTACAATTTTAAATGTGACATGACATACTCTTGTTCATTTTGAAATTAATATGGTACGGATTGCTTTACTGGCATTATTTGTTTATATTAATTGTATAATATAAAGCATGCTGCGTTAAATAGTAATGAAGTGCGTATTAATTGATCTTTGAAATGTTCAACTCAAATTAAAGAAGCATAAACATATGTAGCCGGATATTTAGGTGTTCTTTAATTATCAAAGACTAATATACTGAGTTGCTATTTAAAAGATGATATAAATGTACTGCTAGCACTTGATACAAACTAGCTTTCCGTTAAAGATAAAGTTAGCACTACATTAAAAAAAAATAGTTTTTATACATTAGATTCGTTGTCGCTATACGTTTTAGAAACATTTACAAAGTGTGGTAATTATTTCTACAAAAATATATTTAACAGCAATTAAGTTATTACCGTTAATTAATTGCTCACTAACGATATTGTTTTTGTATAGTATATGCATTAGTCTTGAGATGATATAAAATTTTAAAGTGACATTTAGGTGACGAATAGACTGCAGGAATTAAGCAAGTCTTTATCTACATCGGAATCCCTACCTTATAGGTGCATATATAAGGCCTACAAAGTTGTAGCTATAAAACGAATACGAAAATTGTAATGTGACTTTTAGAAAGCTGATAGCAATATTATACATGTATATATTTTTTTTTAAGGAAACTTTTAGATGGAAAAAATAAAAAGAAACAGTAGAATTGTATGCTACAATCATAACAGATGATTTTTAATCTTACACTAGTCCTATGAAGGTTAAATTGATTAAATTTGACGTGAGGAGCAGATTGTAGATATTCTTGCATGTAATATGTTAGCAAGAATGTGACGTGAAACGAACAGCACTAAAGTCCTGATTTAATTTAGTGTGTATAAAACAAGAAAATTGGGAATTGAAATGTGCGGTGGTACTGATTGATTTGTTTTGACCGTTTCTATTTATTTAATCATGAATAAATTGATGCAGTATATTCAAAAGATAAGATGTGCAGTTGCCCTAGGGGCTAGGCAGGAGGTTTGAAAGTTTGATATAATGGGTACAAGGACACGAATCAAACAAGTATTGATGAGAGGTAATTAGATAACATATGATATAATTTTAATTTATTGAGGACGTGATTTTCTATAAGAGGGTGTAAAGATTGTAGATTAGTTGAGATAGAAGGTTAGTAGCTAGTGGAGTGTTGCCTTGCTTTTCCACGATGTGGTGTCTAGAGCACTCTGTTTGTTGTAGTCATTCTTATTAATGTAATATTTTGCTTTTATTATTTGTTACCGTCTATTATTTATTATGTTTTGATGATCCCACTATTTTGCTATGTTACTGTTTCTTTGTTGAATGCTCTGCATTGTTTTTCTATTAGTAATGTTTTATTCATTACCCTTTTTCCTTGGTCTCCCTACCTATTTTTCCGATTATTTTTTTTGGTTCAAATAAGAAGAGATAAATTACACAAGAAATATGTAAATTTTCACTGAGTCAATGATAGAGTTGAAAATGGGAAAGACAAATTGGAACAGTTGGGTGTTGAATTAATTGAACCAACACATTTGATCATAGACTATGGACATGAAGACAATGAACATGAGGTCAAAGAAGATAAATAGTCAAATCTACACATGGTGTTTTTTTCTCCACACTTGTAAATTTCACACCACACTAGTCATTTGCTGTAACACACACACACACACACACACATGAACACAATAATTAAGAAATTATTAACTCAAAATCACTAGTAAAATTTAAAAAAACTAATCTAATTAGAACATAGCTGAATCAGACGGAGAAGGATTATTCACTAAGTTAAAAATACTATTCCAGTAATTCTTGTTATCTTCACAGTTCTCACTTGCATTTCCACTGCCACTACCTTCCCCTCCGTTATCGGATTCCGTGCCACCGCCTTCCGATAAATCGCCATCGCCGGAATTGCTAAGCAATAGATCTGTAAATGTCTCCACAAAATTGGCAGGGGAAATTTGCTCTGTATTTGACCTTAACGACTCTGCTGTCCATGTTGTGTCCATTGGTAGAGTTAAATCTTGTAGTCCTGATGTGAATGAAATTGAATTTTCATTAATAACATCTTTATTGTATTGAGGCAAATGTCCAGTTGATGAGTTTCCAAATTCCTTCCAATCTTCTTCACTTTCCTCATTATTCATAATTCCACCTTCACTAGAACCTGATGAATTTCCAACAAATTCATATAAAACTGTATTCGAACTTGCTCCAATTCCTGATGATGAAATATGTTGCGCATTTTCAAAATAGCCTAGTGTAGACGTAGGAGATTCCAAATCCCTCGCGAGTGCTCCAGTGACTGAAATACCAGCACTAGCACTCGCGATGGAACCTTCATTTATTGGTTTGGTCCAAACACCGTTCCAGGCTTTCAACACGTTGAGACAACGTGCTGGGCCCATAACGGGTTTGCTAAGAGGACTAGAAGGTGAAGGAGCGGTAAATTCTTGAGAAGCGAGTGAATTTTGGAAACTATTGGAACGGAGTTTAGATTGTCTAGCGAGTCTAGCTTCGGCTTCAAGCCGGGCACTTTCCCACTGAGCCATGTGGCTAAGGTTAGCCGCGTTCTTAGACTGACCGTCATTGGACAACAAGGCATCGTTCTTTGGCTTGTGGGTTACCGGGTCGATCCCCATTTTCACTAGCCGTTTCTTAAGATGAGTATTCCAATAATTCTTGATTTCGTTATCTGTTCGTTTAGGTAAATGAGTGGCTATGGCCGACCACCTAAGAACAAGACAACAAAAGAATATGTTAAATTTTAAAAGAGTATGTAAAGACAAGGCCACTTTACAACTACCAAACAAAAAAGGAAAACTTTGTTTTCATCCATGGATTATTAGTGATTTATTTTTTTGAATTTGGAAATAAATAAAAAAGTTCAATTGATTTTAGCTATTTGAGACAAAAGGACAATATCATTTTCCCAGAGAGAAGAGTACAAAACTACCCCTCACTTTCACTGAAGAAAAATACAAGGCCAGGTATATCAACGTGCAATGGTATTTGTGCAGATCTGATTATAAAAATGTCAAATTTAATTGGACGTAACTGACTGTCAGCTAGTGAAAACAAATCATGCTAAAACAAGTGGTTCTGCCAATATTTTGTAGTTATTATTAGAAGAAGAGGGTACAATAATAAGCATAAACATTTATTTATAATTTCATGGTCTAATTTCCCATTAGTTCTCTACTAAACTAAAAGAATTCCGATTAACACAAAGGCAAATTTAAGATCTAGATTCAGTGAGTTCAAAATGAAATGAATTCTTTATCTTATTATACGTATACATTTCATTCAGTTGAATTGACTAAGAGAGAAGAAAATTGAAAATACCTATTCCCTAAGAGAGCATGAAGTTGAATGATGGTTTGTTCTTCTTGTAAAGTGAATTTTCCTCTCTTGATATCAGGCCTAAGGTAATTAGTCCACCTGAGCCTGCAACTCTTACCACATCTTTGAAGTCCTGTAAATTAACCGAAATTAATAAGATAAAATTTGTGTATTAAAGAATTTTTACACTATCAAGTGAACGCGTACCAGCTTTGGCAGGTAATGCGCGCCAGCTACCATGACCATGTTCTTCGATATAAGCTAAGAGTTTTTGATCTTCTTCAGGTGTCCAAGGTCCTTTTTTCAGGCCAACTTTATCACAACACGGAGATCGACCCATCGAAGAAATGACGACTAGTCTAGAGAAGAAAATAATGAACAAGTAATTTAATTTGTAGGAGTTGTGGTACCTTATATTATGATGGTGCTTCAACTAAAGGAGATTGGAGAGTAGTAATAGTTGATAGTACCGAAATAATAATAATGAGAGAAAGAAGAAGAAGGAGTAAATAAGGAGAGAGATAGCAAGGATAGAAAGGTCAGCGACAGGGACGGGATAAAGATATTAATTTCATCACAGCACATCATATAGTATGAAATCATGTGCAAATCTACTAGTACCCAATAGGATCCTTTTTTTTCCTTTTAAATTTTACACTCCATGTACCTTGTAACTACTTTGGGTTCGCCTAATTCAGATTTATGAGTAAAGGTTGAGATAATTTAGACATGTAAAGAGGAGATTTAATATGCATTAAGAAGATGTGAGGGGTTGAATATGGTGGATATGGAGAGAGGTAAAGATAAGTCGAAGAAATTTCGGAAAGAAGCGATTAGAGAGCACAATATGACTACAGAGGACAAAATCCTAGATAAGAGGATATGAAGTCGAGAATTAAGGAAGAAAGCTAGTACATATTCAATGGCTGCTTCCCTTATCACTATTGTTATTATTATCCTTCTACTATCATATTTTTCAATCTTATTATTATTTGTTGTTTCATTTACTTTTATTATCGTATTATTTACTTCTGTTATCGTATTATTTGTTTTTTTGCAATTCTCTTTTCATTTTCTTTGAATACTTGATTTTGATATGTTTTACTTGAGCCAAAGTTTTATCAGACACAATTTTTCTACCTTCACAAGATAGTGGTAAGATTATGTGTTACGTCGTCTACACTACCCACCTGATACTCCACGACCAGTACATATGGAGTGTTCAGATTGAAACCAATATTTTCAATGCAAATTATAAATTTATATGTAAAAATCGACTAAATTATAACAAATAATATGCTTGAACTCGTCCACTTTTCTAAAATTACATAAATTATATTATTGTTACGATTAGGAAGTCCTACTTTAGGATAAAACGTTTTTTACTCTATTTTTAAACTTCAAAACTCAGAATATATGATTAATAAAAAATGAAAGGATGCTTTATCATCCTTTCACAATATTTGGTGGTCCCTTTAGGATTTCCTTTTGCCGTTTCCCTTAGCTAACTTCCTCTTTTTTATTTTAATATAATACATTACCTTTTTTTTTGGGCAATTTTATGAACTTATTACCAATGATTTCTATTTTCTATTGTAGCTTTATTTAATTCGTTTTTTAACACTTTTTTCCTCTTCTATTTAATGTAGTCTCTCACTTAAAGAAACTGTTAGGATCTTTTTTGAATTACATACATAAGCTTGGCACTAAGAGCCTTAACAACAACAACGTGCTAAATAATTAATAGCCATTTATAAAGTAGGGTCTTACCGAATGTTAACCTAACAAACAACATTAGCTAACCTTAGTCCATCTACCTATTCAATTTTATGTTGAAATTATTTTATTCAACATATCATATAAATACATGTTAAAATATCACTTCAATATTTAAATTAAATTAATTAAAAAAAATTGAGTACTTAAGGCTTGTGCAATTATAAAATAAAACATGGTACTAGAGCTAGGTGATCGTTGTTAAATATTTCGACATGTTGTAAATACAAATATTTTTATTTAGTTTGGAATATATAATATATATAGTATAGATTAAAATTTCCTTCAGAAATCCTTTAAAATCTCATGTGAATATGATAAAATACTATTTAATGTAACCAGAATTCAGGTAGGAGAAATTAAAATATCATTAAAATACTTTAAACTATTACATACATATACACCCTCTAGAACAAAATATTTGATGTTTTGATAAATTCAATTTGTTTTAAAATATTTGACGTTTTAATTTATTTTTTTAAGAAGTCATTTATTTATATTATCATAGACCTTCCCTAATTATAAACACTCATCATTGAACCAGTGTGTAATTATAACTCACGGATCAAACACTTTAGTGCTGAATTTATTTATTTTGCCACTAAGCAATCTATTAAAGTTGTAAATGTAAATATTCATCTAGTATAATAATTATAAAGTGAAACGATTAAAAAAGAGATACATTTATATGATCGATTCATTAGTAGTGTTAAATCTATCTTTTGTACAGGAAAATTAAAAAGGCAAATATTATAGGCAATAGAATACCTTGTTTACTTATTTTGGAAGCTTTAATAAAAGAAATTCAATAATGTGAAGTACTCGTATTTATTACCTACAAAAAATTGAAGTGGAGTAATTATATGCTTGAAAAAATAATAGAAAGAGCAGCATATATAATAGACTGACAGTGCAGGCCTTCGTGCCGCCAATCGCTGCATTTTATTTTTTTACTTTTTCATTTTTTTGCCAACGCTTCTCATTTAATATGTAATCATTATTGTAACCAAAAGGAAGAAAATATAGAGCAAGTTCAACATTGTATTTTAGGAAGTTTCCTTTAATTATTATTACCATCAAAGCTCGTAGTATTGGTTATTTAACTTTTGATAATTAGAGTAAAACCTTACTAAATTAATATTTGGTTAACTAATAATTTCTCTAACATAATAATTTCTTTCGATTCCGACTTGGGCCAATGGAAAAAATCAGTCATTTCAATAAGATAATAAGATAATATATTTTCAAAAGATCCCTATATAAATATATGATTCCATTAATATTCTAAATTAATAAATCTTTAAAAGTACAAATATATCTAAGAAAATTTATTGAAAAATGATTCTATTATGTTAAGTTTTTTGTTAAAATTTAAATCTAGTTGAAGCTCATCTCTAACTTTTCCTATTGCATTCAAGAGTTTCGGTGTTGTCTTTTCTAATTGCACCATAAAACTGTAAAGAGTTCTAGATGCAAGTGTTTCCTTACGCGTAACTGGTTCCAAATATATTGTATCATCTTCATCAACATTGTTTCTCCAATGATATCCACAATTTGTTCTAAGCTTTAGACCTCTGAACATGTATCATTTTCACTCGTCCAATAGAGGTTATTAATTTCTATTTTATTGCGGTAACCGAGATCATTAATCATGACCTCAAGTTCATGAATGATATTTTCACAAGTGAGTTCAAATTCTTTGAGATTTCATCCCTAAACATTTTTTTTGGTGTCGAAACACTCTATAAATTAATAAATATTAATTTATCGATTAAATAATACTTTTATAAAATAATAATATTTTATGGTTTCGCCTTCATTAATTTTGAGAGGTTTTAGTGTAGTTATTTTATTTGCACTTTCTAGAGATGATCCAAATGGATGACGTCAAATAGTTTCTTTCATGTTAAGCATGAGTTTTTTTTCTATTCAAAATTAAAAATAATTCTTTTTTAAAATTTATAGTTCAGTTTTAAATTTTATCAGATCATAATTTGAAATCTCAAATTATATATCTTTTTTTTTCCTAAGAAGTTGATGACGTTACACTATTGAAATACTTTAAATAAACTTAAGTACATACACGATACTAAAATTATTATTTGATCTTAAATCATGATTTTCATATCGTATGTTGGGAGAGAAGTGGCAAAGTATTATTGGTGGTGATGGGCCTGGACACTTGTAGAACGATGAAAAGGGCTTATTAATAGAAGAAAAGACAAAAAGTGGGCCCACGAGGACCTAGATGTAATAGCCCAGACCCAAAGGTTATTACTGTGAGGTGTGGGTCATAACGCCTTTAATTCTCCTTTACTGCTGCCCGGCCCAGCTTCTTCTGCTTCACCGTGGTCCAATTAATTTTTTATTTTTTTTTGAAACTCCTTATTTATTTTTTTATAGAGTCTATGTTTACAAAGGAAAATACTTTATTAAAAAATAAATGGATTTTTTATTCAGTTTACAATTTTTGTTGTGTAAGTAAAAAATATTATCTCAACAAGAAGGATAGCTGAGAAGAAATGATGAACTTGCAATATATCACTTATGTAATTTACTTTTCTTATTTTTATAACTTATTTCTTAGAAAAGTATTTTATTTTGATGAGGTGAAAATAAATTGCAACTCCAAAACCAAGAGAAATATGAATGCAATTCTCGTCCTAGGAATGATGTCCTGCAAAATCATCTAGTGATTTGCAAATATGTCCCTTTCAAGATTTTATCCATTATTAATTTATTCTACCTGCCTATTATTATTATTTATTTATTTTGATAAAAGAGAACACTGTAGTACGAAAATAGCCTTTTGGCTCTTTTTGACCCAAAATAAAAGTACGAAAATAGTAGAAAAGTATAAATTTCTTTATATGTTTGTTACTTTCACTACGTTAATAATGAAGAACGAGAAATATATGAATACGAGGAAATAAGATTTAGAAAATGGGTTAAAGTATACACAATCGAGGTGGCGGTATACATATATTTTCCTTCGGTCCCGATGAGTTGTTATATTTTCGTTCACAATAGTTTTGAAATCAAATAAATACTCAAAAAACAAAGTATGTCAACAATATCTAACTAGCTTCGATTTTTAAAGAATCTAGAATCCTCTCTATCAATTATTCAACTTAGCACGTAACAGGAGAAACCATGCAAATATAAATAATTATGAGAGCGAAATTCACTGAAGGCGATATCTAGAGTTTAACTTTAAATATATCCTTACCTTTGTAGTCATCCGAACTTTTTATTACTAATTGAAAAGCTATTATACCTCTATTACTCTATACCAACATCTCTCAAGCTCTTAAATATAATTGCTTCTTTCTTTATTGATGAAAAATTTGGACAATCTCTCACTGAATGACATGTTTAATTTATTTCATTACTTTCATATGTTCCTTACTCTTTCATTAACATTCATCGCGTATAATAAGCATATTATAAGTTTTGATCAACCCAATTTATAAGTAAATCGATTGTAAGTACATATAAGTTGACATTTTTTTCTACCAAAAAGAAGTATTTTTATTTGCCCAATGACGAATGTTATGCTAGTGAAGGGTAAAAAAAGGTTTACGGTAGGGAAGTCATGGGGTACTGGTTGATCGACTGGTCTGCATCAACTTGTGA